CCAAGCCCCCCCCCCCTCCCTCTCTCTCTCTCTTCATCGCCGCCGCTATTTCCACCATGTCCGACGAGGAATGGGTCAACGTTGCCCTCTCCGATGACTCTCTTGTCGTCGACTTACTTCTTCGTCTCAACCGCCCTCCCCCTCTGAATCCTCTCTTTCCCCCTCTCCGACTTGACTGGTCTGTCCGCCAGCCTCGTTCCAAGTCCATTCTTACCCGCCATGCCTCCGATTCTGCCGGAAAGAACTTTGATGCCGCCGCAAGAGCTAGTCCGACCACTCCTCTCACTTGGAGCAGCGGCGGCTGTGGTGGTGGCGCTACCTCCATCAGCGGCGGATTCGTCGACGCATCCGACGCCGCAAGATCTAAGGTTCTGTTCGTTTCGGTTTTTGTTTCGTTTGATGTTCTTCTTCTTCTCCTTCTTCTTCTTCTCTTTTTCTGAAAACTCAGTGAGTACATGGGAAATCACGAAAGTGCCCCTACGTTGCTCACATTTCTTTTTTCTTTCTTCCGTCGGCGACTTGTCAGATTTTTGCCCCCACTCCACTCTTCTTCATACTTCTAATTATTCCCCCTTTCCGAAATTACGGATCTACCCCTCTTTTCCACCGCCGGAATCGGGTAATTTTCCGGCCACTTTCTAAAAATTGCCCTAATACCCATTCCGGCCAATGATGTAATGAGACGACCCATTTCCCCTTTTCTCCAAATGGGTGACCTTTGTTGGACGCAGCAAATGGGTCCAAAAGAGAGTGGGCGGTAGTCTAAAAGGGGCATTTTGGTAATTTAATGAGTACACAAAACCAGTGTAAAGAGTCAAAGCCATTGGCATTGGCCCCAATAATAACTCCACCTGGAATATGGATTATCCTCCAAAATAATAGTCAAACCCTAGACTCCACCACAAGGGTCATTTTCGTCATTTCACTTCGAAAGCCGAAAGGGCCCCTCTTTATCGGTGGCGTGTTTCCGTGGCAACGAAGTCTGTGTGCAAATGGTGTTGGTGGTTGTGCCCTTTTTTTATGTGTTGGCTTATGAAGATTATACCCCAATAAATGATTCAATGCGGTCAGTTGCACCTTTACCTTCCTAGATTTGCTTCATCTCTACCCTTCCTTTCCCCTAATCAGACAAAACCTCTGCTTTTTAATGGCTTAGAGAAAACAGATTCCCATGAGACAGCCTGTGATCCTAAACTTTCCCCCCTTCTTATGAAACATAAATCTGTGTCCGGAAAATTGTACAACAATGTTTTTTTCAGACCACCCTGCTCGGTTTTGGTGAACCACCCTTGTCTGGTTTTGTCGACTCCCACAAAACATTCCTGGTAAGGGTATAGAAACTTTCTCTATAGCAAGCGACAACACATAACAATATCTACCGGAGGTGGACTAGGACTAGTGCTGTTATAAATGGTATTAGAGTCAAATGTCGAGCGTGTGCCAGCAAGAATGTCGGGTCCCAATGTGTGGATTGTGAGATCCCACCTCGGTTAGAGAGGGGTTAGAGAGGGGAACAAAACATTCCTTATAAGTGTGTGGAAATCTCTCCCGGATAAACTCATTTTAAAACTGTAAAAGAATCAAACTTTCGAAATGGGTTAGTTCTTGATTTGGTTGTATTAGTGGATATGATTAGTAATTAGGATTATAACCATTGTAATTAGACGCATGGTTGAAAACTAAGTGATGGATGGGTTATGAATGGTATATGTGCAGATTGGTTGCAAGAGTGAAGTAGTTGGAACAATGAAGAGGCCAAGAAAGAAAAAGGTACCATTTTTATTCTTTCTTTCTTTGTTTTATTCCTTCCTTTTTGGGAGCTTCATGGGCCATATAACATTCATATGGTGGATAGCAGACACTGGGAGAGCTTAAAGAGGAGGAGGCTCTGCTATTAAAGGAAAGGAGAAGCTTGAAAGATGTATGTTTTTGTTGGTATGAACATGAAACTTGTTCATCTTCGTGGCCTTCTTGCTTAAGCTGTTTCCTTTTATAAGCACAGGCCTTGGCTACCTTGCGGGTCACTGTGGAAAAACAGAGGGATATTAATGGAAGCTTGAAGAAAATGAAGGTGAATCTTCGTGTTGGGGTTTTCTTGCTTTGAATATGTGTTCTTAACTCGGTCGTTCAAGGGTTTCTCTCTTTATTGAATGCTATTGGGAAGCTTGCATTTACTTCTTTATCTGCTGCAAATTATGTCTGAAAAGCTGCTGTTCTTTCTCTTGCTTTTGCCCTTTTTATTATGTCCTTTTCTGCTGATGTTTGCATCATGTAGAGAGATTTGGTCTAATGGCTTGTTTGAGTGTTTGCTGAACTGTTTGTGTGAGATCCCATTTGGTTGGAGACGGGAACATAGCATTCTTTATAAGGGTTTGGAAACCTGTCCCTAGAAGGCGGTTTTAAAAACCTTGAGGGCAAGTCTTAAAGGGGAAGTCTAAAGAAAACAATATCTGCTAGCGGTGGGCTTGGGCTTGAGCTTGAGCTGTTACAAATAGGATCAGAGTCAACTCTGGGCGATATGTCAGCGAGGAGGCTGAGTCATGAAGGGGGGTGGACACAAGGCGGTGTGCCAACAAGGAGGAGGTTGAGCCACGAAAGGGTGTGGACATGAGGTGGTGTACCAGTGAGGATGTTGGGGCCCGAAGGAGGGTGGATTGGGGGGTCCCACATTGATTGGAGAAGGCGAGTGCCAGTGAGGACGTTGGGGCTCGAAGGGGGGTGGATTGTGAGATCCCGCATCGGTTGGGGAGGAAAATGAAACATTCTTTATAAGGGCGTGGAAACCTCCCCAACCTCTCCCTATCAGATGCGTTTTAAAAACCTTGAAGGAAAACTCGAAAAGGAAATCTCAAATAAGACAATATCTGCTAGTGGTGAGTTTGAGCTGATATTGTCCTCTTTGGGTCCCTTCTGAGCTTCCCCTCAAAGTTTTAAAATGCGTTTGCTAGGGAGAAGTTTTCACGTCTTTATAAAGAATGCTTCGGATCTCACGAATTTAGTTTCGGAAAAGATGTTCATTATAACAAAGCTCGAGGTTGATTCTAAGATAACAAGCAAGAAGAGAAGCCAAAGAAAGTTGTTCTGATTCAGTGCGGTTTTGGCAACAGATGAACTTCGTAGCGTTGAAACGAGCTGAGAAAGAGAAAACTATTGACATCATTTTACATTGAAAGCTTAAACTGATCTTAATAACTAGAATGCTGTTTTGATGAATAGATAATGTGTTGCAGAAGCTAAAGTTGTTCTGTTTGAAATTCTACAGCTTGAACTCGAATTACAGCAAGGGTCGACCATTCCAGCCGAGGAAAATTCCGACCAACCGCAACTGCAGAAGCTACCGAAATCTATATGCAACACTACACCCATCGGAGTTGCTGCATTCGGTTGCAACGGCGTCGATGCTTCTTACCAATTAACACTGCCAAACGTTTCTTGCAAACTGCAGGAGATGGGAACTTTAGGGACTGTCCGTTTATTACCTGATCTTAATTTGCCTTTTCAGGACGATTCTGGCGCCGAGGCCTTGTACCGAATGAGCTAGGAACATTCAACCGAAACGAACAAATATTAAGCTACCTTAACTGAAAGGGACAAAGATCGACAACAACAACGACAACAACGATGTAGTTCCTAAATTCTAACCCTGTCATAGGCTCGAGTTACTTGTAACTGTAATTACAAAACCAATTTTCTCAGCTGCATATTCATATAACATCTTTTTTTCCCTTTTTATAGTACCCGAAAAAGATCGAGAACGGAACCATGTAGAGACCTCGAAACCCCTTTAGCTGTTTAGTTATATTATGTATTCACAGGCTTCTGCATCTGGTTATATAAAAGAGGTTGATTATGAACATTGTAATTACTGGATAAATGCAAACAGAGGAAGATCCATTGAGATCAAATGGCCAACAAACGTTTGAAATTTCACTTGCGTTTTTCTGTAGCCATTGAAATGAAGGGGATGAACATGATGATGTATTGCACACAAATGATACTCATAGTCGATGAAGTTAATACTCATGGTTAACCAAGTTAATACTCATAGTTAATCAAGTTAATACTCATTACTAATAGAAGAAATGTCTTTTCCCCAACTGGTTTGGTATATTTCCACTAATAGTAAAGAAGCACTAATGAAACACCTTGTACAAAAATAGACTAATAATAATGGAATACAGGGATATTTTGAGATAAACTAAGATGTTTAACCAAACCCGAAGCAACTAAAGGGATACGGCTAGTAGTAACTCCTTCCATCTAGATTTTGTATGATCGTTCGATGAAATCACGTCTAGGTCTACTAGACTTGAATCACCTCAAAATGTACTATAAAGGGACGTGACTAGTTATCAAATTCTCCCTACCCAAAAAATTATATATTATTTAAGTCGTTGTGTTGCATTTTAGTTGTAGTCATATAACGTTACTTTCGATTTTTCAAAAATCTCTCTGCCCATGTTTTCTAAAGCCTTCTCCTCAAAACAGGGCCTTAATCGCTCACCGACTAGCGGTGGGGTCACTTTGATGTCCATTATTGTACTTTATTTGGCAAGATTCCTTTTTTACTACAATTTAATATATATTATTTATTTATTTGAATAAAAGTTAATTTTAGTTGAAAAGATTTTGTCCATTAAATAATAATAATAATAATAATAATAATAATACTCTTATCATTATTATTGGAATTATTTAGATTTGAAGTAATAAATAGGGGATTTAATTGTCAAATGAATAAAAAAGAAAAAAGAAAAAAAAAGAATTTCCGTACATTTATTGCAATTCATTTCTCCTAGCCATTTAATAATTACATGTATATCTTTTTCCAATTGAATTATGAATTTAATTATGACTAACAAAATATAAAGTTGTTCCCACTCATTCATCTAATAACCTCATCAAATTATTAATTTTTTTTTCAAAAAAAAAAAAAAGAAAAGAAAAAAAGCCTCAAGCGTAAACAAACCACGATCACAAAAGTAAATAACTAAACTCACTCGAATTATCTTAACAACATAACTCGAGCAAACAATAAACAATAGTCTGAGCGAACCCAACAAATCACTTGAAGGGGAACAAGGTAGCGTTATGGACATGAAAGTTACACCCCCGCCAAATAGTACAAATGATTGTTTGCACTGAAGTATAGAATCCTGTCAAACTTCATGCGCGGGAGAAATGCTCACCCTACAGGAGCATGTCCTCCCTAAATAGCTCAGTTAAAGAGGGAGAAAAATAAATGGTCTCGAGACTCAATCTGTCATTATTTTAAAAAAAGCATATACATCAAAGACATCAAAATAGTAGTAGCTAATACGATCACACATTTGTTGGATCGGTATGGCAACCGTAGAGGGGGGTGAATAGGGTTTTAACGATAAAAGTGTTTAAACGTGATTAATTTTTCTAATGATGAAACTTTTTACAAATAAGTAGGAGATGATAATTAATATAACAAAATAATTCAATTCAAAACAATAATTAAGTAGAACATGCAATAAATCACAATAATAGTTTTGAAATTAAATAGGAAAGAGTTAGAGAAAATGACACCGTAGTTTTATAGTAGTTCGGTCAAATTCGACCTACTCCACTCTCCAAGCGCCTCTTGAAAATTTGAATAAAGAACTTTCTCGACTCTTTCCACAGATCAGAGCCAAACTGCTACACCGCTTTTTTTACAAGTTCAAGAGCAAACTCAATCCTTTCCACGGAGCAGAATCAAACATGTATAAGTATTTGAATTTGATAACAACACACTACAACTCTTTCAAAGAGTAGATTTACAATTTGGAGCACTCACAACTATCTTCTCATAATAAAATAAAAAAATATATCTCTCAAGAATAAGATGAATAAAAATAAAATTGGAAGCTTAGATAGAGCAACAAACCACGGAGACTTTGAACAAATGAGGATGGGAGAATGTATGGAAGTTATGTGTATTAAAATGCGAAGAAGATGAGTTTATATAGAGAAGAAAAGTGGTAAAATGTAAGAATTAATATTTACGTTGGGAATAATGGAAGGTAGAGATTAAAAGTAAATAAATAAAAAAAAATTCTAAATTCATTTATTTAAATTTTTTAATATAATAACAATAAAAAGTTACGTGAGTAATAGTCAAATGAAAATTTAAAATTTATTATAAATATAATAATATAATAATAATAAAAACGGTGGGTAAATTAAAATTTTAAAATATAATAATATAATATAATAACAAATTTATATTACGGTTGGTTACTCTTCCAATATTATAAATATCATACTTTGATATATCTTGATTTGTCCATCATTTTAATTTTGTTGCCACATCATCACGTCGAGTATGTTGTTTCGACTGTAATTTTTTCGTTTTAGCTATGATTTGAGTAATTGAAAAGTCGTTGAAATCGTTATTCCCGACTTTATACGGTGGACAGTTCAAAATACTGAAAATAGTTAATAATTAAAAGTAAGTTTGTTATCATCAAAACATCAATCAATTAATTAATTGAAATTAATTAAAGTAAGATCAATGGTCAAAAAGTCAACAACATCTACGGCCGGTCTAACACAACAAACCATACTATAGAAGAGTGAGAATGTTACCTCCAAACCGGAGTCTAGACTAAGATAGTGGCAATAGGAAAAACTCTTAGAACGACAAGGGAGACAAGATTGAGAGAGTCTACCAATTCTCTCGAACTAGAAAGCCAAGATCAAGAACAATCTAGCTGTTCTCTTACAGGATTAAACTATCGACGAACAAAATTGTTTGAAATGTTTCACGGACCAAAAAAAAAAAAAAAAAAAAAACATCCTAAATTTGGGTAAGGATGCAAATACTTGGGGATTCCCACATATGTAAGCACATGGATGTTTTCTTTCAATAATGCCCAAAAAAGTGTTTTTTTTTAATAATAATAATTATTATTATTATTTCATTTCAAATTATTCAAAATTCTAATTATTAAAAAAATTGAAACTTTAACAAATATAATATAATAAATTAATTAAAATTAAAAAATTAAAAAACCAGACAAAAAAGGTTGTGTGGGAGCAGGTAGCCCACTGCGTATCTGTCAGTGAAGGAAGTTTGAGATTCTTGTTGTTTTTTTTTTTCTTCCTTTTATTATTATTATTATTATTATTATAATTATCGTTTATTTTTATTTATTTTATTTTTTGTTTTTTCAATACCCATACTCGACAAAGAAATAATAATAAAAAAGATAATTTTTTTTAGAAAATAATTATTCATCTTTAAACACTTGGAATTATTTATTTTAATTTGTTATCTTTTAAAAAATTATTTTAACTTAAACTATATCTAATTTAATATATACATTACTTATGCCATAATATTTTAATAAGCAGAATAATTTTAAAAAATAACACTAAAATAATTATTTTTAAAAAAAATTTAATAAATATTTTAAAAATTCCTAAATTAAATTAATCTTATTCTTATTCATAAACCAATTTGCTTCTCTCAAATGTAAACTCCACTTCGAAGAATATTCAAAAGGTATCAAGTTGGGGAAAGCATTGTTTCAGACGATTGTATCAATGAACGCGTCTCGAGCTGGAAACTACCCTTCTTCCTAGAATGAATTCGTTCGAATAGTTACCATTGAAGTTTTACGAGACGTTCAATATATTTTTAATTTCTTTCTAAACCTACAAAATTGGCTTTTTAGGGTATTATTATGGAGCGTGGATTTGAAAAGCTAAATATTTAGGTTCCACTTAATTACTATTTACCCCTCCAAAAAAGCTAAGTTAATAATTAGTAAATTTCTTAGGGGGAAAAAGAATTTTAAAAATTCTAAAAAATTATTAGATTATTATTTATGTATCATTTTTCTTAATTTGTAGCCATACACTTTGCAAAAATGATAATTTAAGTAAAAAAGAAGTCCTTTTTTGCAAAAGTAAGAGTATGTTTTAGTAATTATTTTAATATGATGGAAAAATACATTTATTTGTTTTTATTTTTGGAATATAAAATAACAGTAAATCTTATAAAAAATTGTAATAATAAAAATATTACAAAAAATAAATTAAATAAAGATGAAGTTGATTAAAAACGAATTAGAACTTTCCATATAAAACAAAGCAATTTAAACCTTGTTTTTTAAAATTTCAAAATCATCCGTTCATCCATACACCAGTAAAATTAATTCACCATAGTAGTAAATTTCAAAAATACCCTTATACTTATTTATTTTTAAAATACCTTTGTTTTTTCAAAAATTACAATATTATTGTCCACGGTCTGCCTATGTTGTCTGCTTTGACTTATACTTCTACACTCTTATGAAAAGAATGATTTGTTTCTAATGTCTATTATGAAGAAGTTTTCACACTTTTATAAAGAACGTTATATCACCAAAAGACCTCACAATCTCACAAAACAATATTGACCGAAATTGTCACAAATTTATTTCTAATTTTTTTTTTTTTTTTTTTTTTTTTTTTTTTTTTTTTTTTTTTTTTTTTTTTTTTTTTTTTTTTTTTGGGCAATTTGGACCCAACATTTTTAGGACTTTCTTCCCCGAAGTCCATTTCAAAAATTTTACCTTTTTGAAGTTTTAAAGGAAAAAATATAAAGAAAAAGTGGTTTGTTGGTGTAGCAGAAGCAGTCCTTTGTCTGTTGTGTGGACAGAGTGAAGAACACAAGAGGGTTCAAATGGGAGAGAGATTAGGAGGTTGGGCTATGAATCTTCTCAGTATTTTACTACCCATGTGGGTTTCCTCTTCCTTGTTCCCAATAATTGATGCCAGTCCACAGCTCCCTGGGTTTTCAATTTCTAGGACCAGACCACAATCCATTCCTCTCATTGTGGCCAAAATGGAAGCTCAATCCCCAGGTTTCTGCTTCTCTTCTGTTCTTGCCTTTGTTTCTGTGTTGCATGTTTTATCTATTTCATGTTCTGTTTCTCTGTTCCATGTTCTGTTCTGTTCTGCTCTGCTCAGCTGGGTTTTTGGTGGCTTAAGTTTTGCTCCGTGTTCTGTATGAAATTCGAAATGTTCGTGAGTTTTCATGGGGTTATTCATGGGGTATGGGATGAGATGTTTGTGAGTTTTCAATTTCAAGACAGTAACAAGAAGAAAAGGTCAAAAAATTCTAGGACAAGAAACATAGATGCTGCTATAAAGTGAAGAGTTTTTAACTCCTTGTGTTCTTGCTGGTCCCTAATGTCTTTAAAACCCAATTGTTTGTCCCATTTCAGTGTTTTATGTTTTTGTTTTTCGCTTTCTTATCTCTTCATTGTAGCTATATATGTGCTGTTCCAACTCATTTTGTTAACACACAGGAGCTGCAGATGTTAGAGTAGTTCATCACCAAGATTTGAACAAGAGAATTCTTGTAGCTTTGGTTGTTTCTTCCACACTTCTTGGAGCTATACTGCTGTTCCTTTTGTGTTTTTGGATATATCGTCGAAAAACGTCGAATCTTGATGATGAAAAATGTCGAAAGAATTCGGGTATTTTCATTTTTGAACTCTTTTGTTGCTTTCTAATCAGTATGAATCTACATTATCTTATAATCTCTGTTTATCTTTGTCGATTCAAAGAGGGTTCGAAAGGGGTGACGTTAAATCCCATCATATCCAGGTTTAACTCACTGAGGTTAGCTAACTTTAAAGGTTCGGTTTCGACGTTCGACTATAAACTGTTGGAAGCTGCTACTGATAGCTTCAGCAAAAACAATGTCTTGGGCCACGGTGGTTCAGGACATGTTTACAAAGCTTGCTTCAATGATAAATTGCTGGCAGCTGTGAAGAGAATTGATAATGGAGGAGCGGATGCTGAAAGAGAATTCGAGGTTAATCGATTGAATGCTCTGATTATTTCGTAGCTTTACGTGTTCTTGTCTGTGAATTCCTTCTTGAAGCGTTCCGTTTATAATTTGGTAGAATGAGTTGAGCTGGTTGTGTAAAATACGACATCAAAACGTAATCAAACTCTTGGGACATTGCATTCATGGAGAAACACGGTTTCTCGTTTACGAGATGATGCATAATGGATCTTTGGAGTCTCAGTTGCACGGTATGAGTTTCGTTCTTTCTTTTTTGTTGGTGTAAACGGAGAATTTTCGAGCTCACACTTTTTATTGTTTCGATCTCTTAGGACCTTCTCGTGGATCGGCTTTAACTTGGCATCTCCGGATGAAGATTGCTGTCGATGTTGCAAGGTAATTCCATTCGTTCAAATAGATTGCTCTTGCTCTTTCGTTTCTCGGTATCGACATTCAACGTAGAATCATCGTTTCTTAAATTATTAGAGGATTGGAATATCTTCATGAGCATCGAAATCCCCCTGTCGTTCATCGGGATTTGAAATCGTCGAATATCCTTCTCGATTCGGACTTTAACGCCAAAGTATGATCTTCCACACCACCAGTGAATTTCCCAGTTTAGTTAAAACTTCCATAAGGTTTCTCATTCAATCAGTGTTCTTGATTCAGCTCTCTGACTTTGGCCTTGTTGTCAACTTGGGAGCTCAAAACAAAAACATAAAGCTCTCGGGAACGTTGGGTTATGTCGCCCCGGAATACCTTTTAGACGGTATGCAAGATTATGATGTCGCTCATTATCGACGTTTTTAGACGCTAAGATTGACACATTTCGATGTTGGTACCATAGCAACTCGAGTTTGTTATTCATTTTGAGTACGAACTTTCTGATACGAAAACTATGTCCAGGTAAACTAACTGATAAGAGCGATGTGTATGCTTTTGGCGTTGTTCTTCTCGAGCTTCTAACTGGGAAAAAGCCTGTCGAGAAGACGGGACCGACTCATTCCCAATCTCTAGTTTCATGGGTAGCTCACATTTTTCTTTCCCCCACCAGTATTTCTCTTGTATCAATTGCAATCAGCTTCTTGAACTATCTCATCGAACCAAATGTAGGCGATCCCGCAGCTCAGCGACAGATCAAAGCTACCGAAAATTGTCGATCCTGTGATAAAGGACACGATGGATTTGAAGCACTTATACCAAGTTTGTCAATTGCTTTACTCTTATGTCAATCAGTTGATGTTTTTTTCAAGCCATTCTTAGTCGCTCGTAAATTGAAACAGGTTGCTGCTGTAGCAGTGTTATGTGTACAATCAGAACCGAGCTATCGACCGTTAGTAACCGACGTTCTGCATTCCCTCATCCCTCTCGTACCAGTAGAGCTTGGAGGATCTCTTAGAATTACAGAACCCCTGCATCCAAAAGTGCGTTCATCGACCCGGTAAATGATAGTAGGAAACTGAATGAATTCATTGCTTAGTTCCGTGACATAGTACACGGGTCGAAACGGGAAGATTCGATTTCGTGTCGTCGTTACAAGACAGTTTCTTGTTTGCCATTTATGTAACTCTGATTTATGTTGATCAGATGCTGTCTTATTTACAAATGAAAATATATATATTTTGGGAGGAGGCAGCTCTCTTGCATTCTTACCACCTATATATATATATATATATATATATATTTCATAAAGTATTGTTCATCATTTGCCAAGTTTAAATTTTTTTAAAATAATAATAAAGTTTAAATTGTTAATTTTTTAATTGAATTGAATTGAAAGTTTAGTAAAAATGAAAATTTTTATATTTGTAAATAATATATTTATGAAGGTAAATTTTTTTAGTTGAATTTTTTAAAGATAAAAAGTCAGGCGGGGTTGACATTTTATTGATGGAGTCAACCAACCAATCTGAAAATAGGGTTACAACTCGATAATTAAGGTTAAGTTGGGTTATATATAAGCTCTATTCAGGTTGCTCGAGTTAACAATCCAACCAATCTAAAATTTTGAATTTGTTTAACGGATTTACTCAACTAATCCAACCCCAACCCGTGTACACGCGTATGTTTATCCAACTATTTGGGAAAAATAAATAAATAAACAAATGATTTTTAAAGTTGTATCTCAACTTGGCTGAAGTTAATGGGCCTTTTGCTACTTGCTACGGCCCAAACCATAAATAGATTAAATTACAAATTTTCTATTTAGTTTTTAAACTTTTAAAATTATATATTTATTCTCTTTTTAACTTTTAATATAAAGAATATAATTATAAATATTGTCGTATCATAGATATGTCTATTATTGATACGATGGTATCATGATGATACCTATCTTTCTTATATTCTCTTATTTGATATCAATAACCAAAATCTTTTGCTATCGAACTTAAGATTTTATTACGCATATAATTCAAAATTATATATAATAAATCAATTAATTTTTAAGAATTTAAAAAATTTTCAAGAATTTGTTACAAAATTGAAAATTCAAACATAAAATTGAATTTAGATATGGATTAAACATTTTAAAAAAAAGAATGATATTTAATTAGTTTTTATGCTCTTGGATGAGAGAGATTGATTTGGATTGTGTCTATGGAGAACATGTGGATCCAAATGGGAAGAAGGGGTAGAAGGCATGTGGTTGTGGTGGCTATGTATTTGGATATCATGGGTGCCCATGTGAAGGTATGGCTAACCCTTCTTTCTCTATAGCATTTTACGACCCGTTCAATTGACCTAACAAAAAAAATGTCGAACTCAAAATTGACTCAAATTTTCAATTTTTTTTTTTTTTTTTTTTGAGTCAGAAACTCAATCAAATCTAAACTGAAAAAAAATTAATTCAACCCAATTTTTTCGGTTTAGATCAGATAATTTGGATTGATCAGATTCTCGAATTATTTTAACATCCCTATCGAATAGATAAAGACAAGATATTTTCAAAATGGCTCCCTTTTTCCAACGGGGCGAAAAAGCCAGTTGAGTTTAGATTCATGCATATTTGAAAAACATGTGGACCCTATTATTGGATAACAATGGATCAATATACTTTTTTTTTTTAATATATATATAAATTATTAGCAAAATTTTGTAAATTAAATAATCTAACTATATATTAAAACATAATTTTGTAAGGTCACTAAAATTAGATTATGATAATAAATCATGATTACTCCAACTAATGAGACATGTATGTCTCTAAAGCTCCATGATTGAAGTGAGGAGCATATTAGGTAACATGGGCATGCATGCAAAATTGGAAAAATAATTGAATTAATTGGGGGAATAAATCTATAGTAATGATTATGTTATAGGGAAATTTTGATGAAATTATTAATTAATTAAAAGGAAATGACATAACATAATCCAAACATAGTCATGAACCCAAATGCAAATAGAAGACAAAATCACATGTTTTTTTGTTTGTTTGTTTTTTCAAAGGTTAAAAAAGACAAACATGTGGGTCCGAAGTTGTTGGAACTTGTTTCTCAAGCATGAGTGACATTCCCCCAAAAAAGCATCATCATTTCTCACTCAATTCATACATTCCTACCCTTTCAAAAGTAATCCATAAAGTGCATTTCCATTCAATATAATCTTTTTTTTTTTTTAATAAGTTTTTCAAATCAAAACGTTTTGGTCGAGTACGTGTAACAGATCAAGTTCACCGCTCGTCGAATATTGTTCTCTTTAAGGTTGTCCATCTCGACTATACCTCAAAGTTTTAAAATGTTTCCAGTAGGAGAGTTTTCCATACTTTTATTATAAGAAATGTTTCGTTCTTTTTTCCAATCGAGATGTGGAATCTCCCATTATAGATTTAGTGATAAAAGGTTTGAAACCACTAACGAATTGAGTATTTTAGTAGTTAACGGTTTATGTGTCAATGAAATAGTCTTTTATATTTAGCTTATTCGATAAAAAAGACGAGTGGAATAAATTTTATAGCTCTGAATTTAAATGGCGATTTGGATCTAAGGTGTTAAGCAGATCATCAGGTGATGAAAAAACGAGATAGTCTACGACCTAAGATTAAAGATGAAGATGAAGAAAAGTCAAAACGTTCGAGGCCCACATGCAAAAGAATAGTATCTAAACACATTGACCCAAGGTCAAATTGAATCTATTTTATAGCCCAGCTATTTTTTGTCCGGTCTATTAATTGACCTATACAAAAACTATTTATGAGATTTTATCAAATTATAGTCTTTTTACTTTAGGATCAAAATTTTAATTTTCTCGACCAAATTTATAATTTAAACAATTTCACTTGATTATATGCTATGCTTGCCCGACCCATCAATTTTCTTTTCAACGATCACTTTTCATCAATCATTACACGATCTTCTTCAACATTTTGTTTCGGGTCGCATCAAAAAAAAAAAAAAAAAAATCTCATTCTCGACCTTTTATTTCAACTGGGTCGAAACTATATTTGCATCCCGAACATCGTAACATCCGTTTTTTTCAAACTAAGCCAAGAATAACATTGTTTAACATCATAATATGGACTTTTTTTGGTTCTTTGATGGAGAAGGAGGAGCATGAGTCAAAAAAAGAACAAAGCAAAGCTGTAAAGTTGATTATAAGAAGTGGAAAAAAAAAAAAGGAAATTAGGGTTCATGTGTTCATATTTCTTGGATTCCTCCATTAATGTGATCACTTCACGATTCAAAAGCAATAAGGAAAGACAGACAGAGAGACAAGACACGAAGACAAACAAGAAAAAAAACTTGAACCAATATTTGTGGTCTGAGGATCTCTCGACTTTGACTGCCACTTTTTGTCTTTTTCTCTTCTTTAATGAATTTTTTAATTCCTAAATTATCAAACTTTCAAATAACCCTTTGAAAATTATATTTCATATTATCCATAATCATATATTACTACAACGTGACAAAATATAGTCTATAATATATCTAATCATATACATTAATATATTAATAAAATCTAGAGAAAATTAATGTAAAAATCATGTAATAATTTCGAATGATCCGAGGTCTAATAGCTCTTGTATCATTTGTTCAATGTCATCATCTTCAAGAGGTTGAAGGCATTGCTGATGATGAATGTTGTTGTTGTTGGTCTCTATTTGGGTTTCTTCCTGCCGCCACCGGTTGGTGGTGGTTTGGGAAATGCTCGGGGGAGGGACGCCGTATACGGCGTAGTTGGACTCGAATCCGGGGTGTTGTTTGTGGGCGGCGTGCTTTTTGGCGATTTGAAGTGAGGCTAAATGACATTTGTGTAATTTCGCCATCAGCGCGGCGGAGAGAAGTTTGGAGGAAGACGACGATGACGAGGACGATTGTTGATCATTTGGATTGAATTGGAAGTTGGTTCGCGCCTTTGGACCACACATCAGCCGTGCTGCCTCGTCGTAAGCTCGGGCTGCGTCCTCCGCCGTCTCGAACGTCCCCAACCATATTCTCGTTTTCCTGAAAAAGTTTTGATTTTTAACACATAAAAGGTTAAAAAAATATAAAAATTTCAATGCTTTCTCTATGAAAATTGAAGAAGAAGGAGAATTACAATAGAGGGTGGCGAATTTCGGAGACCCAAGAGCCCCAATGTCGTTGTCGGACGCCACGATAGCGCTGTTGAGGTCGGGCCATGGATCGATCGTCGGAGAAGAAGAAGAAGCTTGAAGAGGTGCTCCAATGGCGGAAGAGCTATGAGCTTGGTTGGTGATGGGAATAGAGAAAGTGAGTGATAGGGTAATAGGAGGGAGAGAGGAGAAGTATATATAGACACCTTTTTTATTTCTATTTGGAACCTTTTGTCTCTCAATTTCATTAGAAGTGGGTCCCTCATATTTGGCCTCTTCCGACTCAATATAGGATTGGTTCAAGTAACTCGTCTCATTCATTGTGATCTCAGTTTATTCATGTATTCTTTCTCTACTCATGTGTCACAAATTCTATGAAATCCCACATCAGTTGAGGAGGAGAACGAAACATTATTTATAAGAATGTATAATCTGCGAATTATAGTACATAATCATCTCCAAAAATCTCGGTTAGAGCAGGTATATGCCAAACATGAATACCACTAGGAACCACCGACGAAATACCGGGTAAAGAGACCCAATCTTGAGTGAAATAAATACTGCGGCTTCGATCTTTCTCAACAAAACCATCAAGTAGTCAATCAACAAAACCTAAAGTGATGTCTCTTTTCCCTTCAAGTTTACTTACTATGGTACCAACATGAACATGGTCTCCACCAGACAGACATAAGGCTTTAGCTAGTACACGGAAGTGCATACCATGATTCTTCTTTCTATCAATAACAGCATGCATTGCACAGTGAAGGTGAAGAAGCTAGTATTTGCAGTGAATCCACCGGTTAAGTAGTCATGCATTAAGGATGTGTAAATCTCTTCCTAATAGACGTGTTTTAAAAATCTTGAGGGGAACCTTGAAAGAAACATACTAAATAGGACGATAACTACTGACGGTGAACTTGAGATATTATAAATTCACTCAAAATATATACATTTTGAAATAATGAATAAGATCGAGTCAAACAAAGTAGCTATGTTGGGATAAAAGTTAGAATTTTGAGAAGAAAAACAGGAAGAATCTATGAAAACAAGGTGTATTTTGTTTGTTATTGCCTGAAACATTGCAATAAGGAAAGGTTA